TTTTTTTTTTTTTTCTTTTGTCTTGAAAGCTTTTAAGACCCCTGTTGCTACTCACCAATGTAGGATGAGGAACAAGGCTTTTACGTATTTTGTTGTGCCAATTGAGTCTGGTGTCCCCCAGTACTATGGTCCTGAGTCGGTAGATCCATTGGATCTCTCTCCCACAGTGTCTAGGTGTCTGTGAGGGATTACTCTGTGTCTGTCTTCTATTGTTTCTGTAAGGACTGCAGGTATTTTATATCACTGGTATCTGTGTAAGATTAGCCTCTGCTGAATCTATCCTTGTTGTTGTTATGTGCCATTGAGTCAGACCCGACTCATAGCGACCCATCCTTAGGTTGCCGAGGCAGTATCACTACGGAAGTAGATTGCCCAACCTTCCTTCCAAGGAGTGGCCAGTGGGTTTGAACCACCAGCCTTCTGGTTAGCAGTCAAGTGGCTTAGCCACTATGCTACCAGAGCTCCTTAGTCTAGAGTATACTCCTGTTCACTGACCCTCATCTTATCCTCTCAGGTGTTTATCTGTAGTCTAGTGTTTGGTGTTAATGGCAATGCAGTATTGTGGGCACACTGGTTGGTATCAGCATCTGTCGTCTATCTCCTATGTGCACAATTCAGTGTCCTCCCTTTTTCTAATGTTATCATGGTGGTCACAAACTCTTTCCATACATCACTCTAAGGGAAAGAGTAATTTTAAGGCAGGGCTTCCAACTGGTTCATTCTGGTTTGACCCCTCTATGAATTTGCATTTCTACCCTAGCTATACTGAATCCAAGTTTACATTTTAACAAGATCCCAAGGTGGTGTTTATTCTGACATAAGAATCATCTGAGGATCTTATTAAATTGTAGATTTGGATTCAATCTATCTGAGGAGGAAATGCAAATTCATAGCAGCGGGTCAAACTAGAATGAACTGGTTCGAAGTTCTGCTTTAAAGTAATAAAATATGTTGGCATTCTAAATACAATTGTAATCTCCTTGAAACAAAAAATGATTGTGTATAGCTAATCATTTACAAAATGGCACAGGAGCTACCAGTTGCTGCTGAATTAACTCCAACTCACAGCAACCAACCCCAAGTGTGTCAGAGTAGAACTGCACTCCATAGGACTTCCAATGGCTTATTTTTCAGAAGCATATCACCAGCCCTTTCTTCTTAGGTGTCTTTGGGTGGATTTGCCCAGTCAACCTTTGATTAGCAGTTCGAGTGCATGAATCATTTATACTGCCCAAGGACTCCTACAGAAACTAGAGTAGTAAATACATTTTGCCCAAAGCCCTTCAATGTCCTAACATCATAACTTAGCTTTCAGCAATTAAAAGTCTTTTTGGCTGCATGTTTCCTAAATTGTGTGTATATAGACAGTGAAAACAGTGTGAGCCAGAGCTCGACGGAACTGCTTTGTTTCTCTGAGCTTCATAAGTTTTCTGGTTTTGACAAGATAGAGTCTCACCACTTTTCTATTGCTCGTTTTAGTGGAAAATATTTGACTTTTCCACTTTATACAGTTTCTAGCTTTTGCAGGTTTAAATGTATACATGTATATATGTATGTAGTAAAACTAATATTATGTTGTTGTTGTTATGTGCCGCTGAGTCAGACGTGACTCATAGTGATCCCTCCTTGGGTTTCCAAGGCAATATCAAGGAAGGTTGGGCAATCCTACTTCCGTAGTGATACTGCCTCGGAAACCCAAGGAGCGGTCACTATGAGTCAGGGCTGACTCGAGGGCACGTAACAACAACTAACAACATCACTACGGAAGTAGATTGCCCCATCTTCCTTCTGAGGAGTGGCTGATGGGTTTGAACCGCCAGCCTTCTGGTCAAGTGCCTTAGGCACTATGCTACCAGAGCTCCTAACTAATATTATAGACACTCTTTTAGTAAACTTTTACTTAATCAGTCCTTGGACTCCCCCAGCCTCTCAAGTCCCTTGGTATAACATCCTGACTGAAGCTCAGAGCACTTGAGTTACACCTACATACTCCTGCTCCCATGGGCTGGATGGCAGGCTTTCCAAGCATTGGTTGTGTTGTTCACAATCCGTGTTGTTGTTGTTGTTGTTTGCTGTCGAGTCGGCCCCGACTCATAGCGACCCCTCCTTGGGTTTCCGAGGCAGTATCACTACGGAAGTAGGATTGCCCAACCTTCCTTCCGAGGAGT